GCTGGAGTCACACCATTAAAATGCATTTTAATTTTTGTCGATTGGACACTGATAGAAAACATTGAATTTTATCGTTATGTTAATCCAATTTTACATAAAATTGATTCCGCGCGGAACTGATTCAAAATAGCCGGTCACTTCAAAAAAACTGATAATAAACATACAAAATATGTTCAGCTTGTCAAATTTAAGGTGACTCTTGACAAATTTGTCCACTCGCGTAGAAATTTAAGTGAGAACGCATTCGGAGGAAAAGAGATACATAATGCGCTCGGTCACTTCGCCTCGTTGGTACACTCCATACTGCAAGTTTACAGAGAGTGAACTTATTTATTAATGGAACTTCTATGATACGTCTATATTGTATGTTATTTTGACGTTTGAATTTTTCCTTCGGAAATTTTTCTCGAAATACAGAATATTTTGTCCCCCCCTCCCATTCGAAGATTGTTTTAGGGAGAACCCGGGGATCTTTGGAATCTCAGAATTGACATTCTCAACAAAATTCAGCTTATTTGTATAACTTTTGGAGATCAAATCTCTGACTGGACTATAACGCAACAAAATACAATTTTTTTTAATAATTTACGTTTCAATGTTAATTTTGTAAACACACTTTCTCTCGAATATGTTCTCTAGGGCTTTAACCATTTCCTTTGTGGTTTCTGCATCTTTAACCAAATCCAAGTGTTTGTCTGTTAAACATTGTACTATGATGCTTTTACCTTTGAAATCTTTTAGTTTAAACTCTGCTTTCTCTTTTGTTTCAGTGTAGTCTTGCTCAGTTTTCTCCAATATAGCTAATAATTGTTTTTCTTCCAGTAGTATGGTTACTCTGAATTTCCAACTGTTAAATTTGTAGCATTTGTCAGCTGAGGATCATTACTACTGCATTAGCCATTTTATATTTCACACTTTCTTTTTGCTTCTTTATTTTTTGTCTGTCTGGGTGACCATAACCTATTAGAATTTGTTGTTTCCCATTGAGGTAATACAGAGATAGCAGTGAATTATTTGATTACTTTATTCAACAAAAGTACTACAAACTAAACATGTGCTACATTCTAGAAATATATAAATACAATTGACAACCAGAATAACTTAAGACATTGTGAGTCAGTGTTGCCAAGTACAAAATTCCAATAATTCTCAACAAAATTCAGCTTATTTGTATAACTTTTGGAGATCAAATCTCTGACTGGACTAGAACGCAACAAAATACAAATTTTTGGGTACCCGTAATGTATATAGCCTTGGCGACTAACAAAGATTATCTTTTCGTTGACATTTTAACTATAGCATTTTTCATATAAAAAAGCTTGCACGTCATTCAAGATTTACGTCGTCAGAACCCCACAGCGTTGCCAAAACATCAGAATAGTTAGTAAGTGAGGAATTTTTAAAATGTCAACTATTTGTTAAATTATTATATTAAATACACTTTTAAGACTACTGCAACACACTAAAATACGTAAGAAAACATTTTAATACAAAATTATATATTCTAAATTTTAAACTTACTTCTAGTTTTAGGGCTTTAATAGTAAAAACGTCCTGCCATTATTTCTTGTTCAAAATAATCTATCTTATATGAAATCTTATCAGCTTTCTACAGACTATTTATTTGTTATGGCATAGCACAATCACAATACACAACAATAATTAGTTTTTAAAGCTATTAATCTAAATTTAATATGTATTTATAAATACAATTTATTAATATATATTATATTATGATCAAATTGTGTAAGAAATCAAAACATAAACAATATTTCTACTCTAAAAAAGCGGCAACACTTAATACACTTTCGCCACCCGCTGAACTGTCAATAAATTTGATAATAATGATGATTACATTTTGCTGATTATTCCAACATGTTGACGCCTATGAAAGATCGAGCAGTTCCGTATGGGTTTCGTATTATTAGCTGTGTTAGGAAAATTTGAACTCTAAGGTTGATGTTCTGGAAATTTTAAACACAAGTGACGTCATTGTGTAGAAATCGTGACGTGCAAGTGTTTTACTTTGAAAAATGGTATACTTTAAATGTTATTTCTATTATTATATTTTTTATAATATGCTAGTAGTAAGTAAACACTGAATGTTAAGACTAAACATTAACCTAGAAGATATCTTAGAAGTTTCTTTGGTAGAATTATGGAAATAGAACGCCTGCCAAATGAATGTAAAAGGAGACTTTTATAACCTCAACAGCGAAACAAAAGTTATATCAATTTCTCAATACTTTAGTGCAAACTTTAGAAATTAAAATTGTATAAACAATTATTAGTAATAAAATTCTAAAATAATCTCCAAGTAGTGTTTTTCTTTAAATATATGATCAATGTTAGTCCTCTCCCAGGCCATCCTATAAATTTAATACCAATTCTGATTAAAAAAAAAAAGGTGATGAAATTGTGATGCTGCCACTGGTACTTATATTTTGAGTTGAAAAATGTAAAATCTAATTTAACTTGAAACTCTAAAATCTCTGTGTGTCATATATCACAATGATTTAAACACTTAAAATGATTTATTTTCAAAATTATAGCAAAAATCGCAATTGTCGATCCTTAAATTGTGCAATGTATCAAAAAAAAAATAAATTTTAGTTCTTTTGGAGATATTTTAATCTTATTAATTTTTATTACTCTTTGTTTTAACCTGCACTGTCTGCACAAATTTTTATAGTTTTATTTTAATTTTAGGGTTTTCTCAGAACAGAATGGAAACCATGAAAACTGAACTGACATTCACTACAGAACCACAAAAAAGTGCAAACACTGAAGAAACAACGTTCAAAAATTCTATTCGTCAATGTAAAATTTGTTTTAAGCGATTTAATCATTCAGGTGCTATAAAACGCCATATAAAAACAATGCACACTACAAAAAATTCTTACAAGTGTGAAATTTGTTTTAAACAGTTTAATAGAGCATACGATTTGAAACGACATATGAAATTGCACACAAGAGAAATGCCTTACAAGTGTGATATTTGTTTTAAACAGTTTACTAGAATGTACGATTTGGAAAGACATTTGACTGTACACACTGAAGAAAAGCCTTACAACTGCGAAATTTGTTTAAAGCAGTTTACCAGAACATCTTATTTGAAAAAACATAAGAAAGTTCATACTGGAGAAAAACCTTATAAGTGCGAAATTTGTTTTAAGCAGTTTCTAAGAGCATACGATTTGAAACTACATATGATATTACACACTGGAGAAAAGCCTTACAAGTGCGAAATTTGTTTTAAGGAGTTTATTAGGGCATACGATTTGAAACGACATAAGAAATTGCATACTGGAGAAAAGCCTTACAAGTGTGAAATTTGTTTTAAACAGTTTACTACAGTATACTATTTGAAAAGTCATTTGACTGTGCATACTGAAGAAAAGCCTTACAAGTGCGAAATTTGTTTTAAGCAGTTTATTAGAATATACCATTTGAATGAACATATGATATTGCATACTGGAGAAAAGCCTTACGAGTGCGAAATTTGTTTTAAGCAGTTTAGTAGGGCATCTGATTTGAAACGACATATGAGATTTCATACTGGAGAAAAGCCTTACAAGTGTGAAATTTGTTTTAAGCAGTTCGCACAGAAAATTTCTTTGGATAAACATAATAAAGTTCACAGTGAAGAAATTCCCTAAAGTGTGAAATTTCTTTTAAACAGTTTGAGAAAAGATTTGGAGAGTTCACCCTGGGAAAAGACCTCACAAGTGTAAAATTTCTTTAAAGCAGTTGCTCGAGCTCATTTGAAAGGTTGTTTGAAAACAATATTAGGAGAGATGCGAGATATCTTATTTGGTGGAGTTATGGAAACAGAACGCATGCCAAGAAAATGTGGAAGCAAACTTCTGTAGCCTTAACAGCAAAGCCAAAGTTTACCAATATTTTATTGCAAACTTTAGAAATTTAAATTTTATAAACAATTATTAGTAATAAAGTTTTAAAATATTCTTGTAATGCTTTTCTGTAAATAGGAGAATTATTAATGATCAATGTAAGTCCTCTCTTTCGAGATGATTGTAATGGGTACAGTTTTTTTTGTAGGCCAATTCACATCTGGCACACTGCTATCAGATGACGCACACTGAGAATTATTTACTAGTTTCTTAGTTATATCTAAAAAATAATCTGCATTTTCGGTCGGCTAGCGTCGTGTCCATTTGCCCTACAAAAAACTGTACCCGTCATTACAATCATCTAAAGCTCCTACAGTTAGTCAAGATTATACGGTAAAAAAAGTATAAAACCTTGAATTTTTTTTGAAGGTAGGTGGAAAATAGCTCCAAGATCAAAATCTATCCTATGCCAACATGTGCTTTTCCACTGGGTTAGCACCCCAACTCGGTGTGGAAAAAGTTTATAAAAAAAACATGGTAGTCGATAGAATAGTGAATTTTAAAACAAAAAAATGTTCTTTAGAGTTGTTTCGAATTTGGAATTAGATATTCGTGACTGAATGTTCACAAATTACACGTCAAAGAAGCATGTTTTTAAACGGTTTTCCGCGAATAACTCAAAAAGTTTATATTTTATCAGGAAAATCTGTTTCGATATAAAATGGAGCTTATTTTATATTCAGACAGTTTTCCCGATAAAATTTAAAAACATGCTTTTTTGACGTATAATTTGGCAAGTTTCTTAGCCACAGCTTATCTGTGACTAGTGTGACTTTCAGTCACGAATAACTCCAAACCATGGTACAATGAACACCATGTACATGTATTCATCGTACCATGACTCCAAAGCTCCAAACCTTGTCTGAGATGTAGGATGTAAAATATCGCTTACTTCCAGACATATCTCATCCACAGACCACTATCTCATCCATGGACGTCTTTATTTAGACGTCCATGATCTCATCTCTGCCTACTTCATATAGGTGTATTTGAACTACTGGGTCGTTTTATGGTCGTTTTCATAAGACGTCATTTTATTTAACCTAACTTTTTGTGTACTTTAACACAATACAAATCTGAGTTTTGTGTGTGTTTTTTTAATTTTAAATAATATGAGTACGTATGAAATTAGTAAATCTTCAGTAAGTATTTTCTTGAATATTTATTCTATATAGTAAATATAATTAAGAATATTTTTTCTTCATAGTTACTAAGTTTGAAAGCAGAGATATTACGAAAACAACAGGAATTAAATAAAGCCAAAGTTGACAATGATGTAAAAATAAAGATATTAAAGAAAAGTCCTTTAGAAATAAAAAATAAAGGAGTAGAAGCAAGAGATAGAAATGATCAAAGTGATGTGGATCAGGATTTATTAAAACAATCTAGGTAAAATATTTGGTATTTTTTCTTCTTGTTTCTTTAGTGAGACCTATAGCTTTTATTTATTTTAGGTCAGTTTTAGAACAAAAAGCTGCTTTATATGAGAAACTCTCTTCTGGAAACGTTTCGGAAAATGATAAGGAAAGAAATAAATTATTTTTGGTTAGGTTTGACAAGAAAAATATTGAAAATAGTAGTAAAGTAAGTGATTTGCCACCTAGTGACTCAGAATCTGATAAAAAGCCAAATAGTGAGGATGATAATGATTATTACCATTCTGATGATGAAGAGCACACAGATCCTCAAGAGAAATGGTACAAAATATACTAATTTTTTTTTTACTGATCCATATAAATTATATTTTGTTGTTCATCAATATTTTTATTTACATTTATGTTTTATCTTTGTGTTTGTAAAAAAATATGAAATTTTTGATGATCATTTTTGCTGTTTATTGACTTTTATATATTTTTAGGGTTGATTATGTGGATTGCTTTGGAAGAACAAGAAAATGTATGCAGAAAGATCTGGAATACCTAAAATCTAAAGATAATGAAATGAAAAAAGTTGTAGATATAAAAAACCAACAATTCAACAATTCTGCATCACAAAATCATGAAAGTGATGATAAAATTGATCAATCCAGTACTGAACCAGTGTTTGAAAATGAAGTAGGTCAATCAGAATTACTGTCTAGTGATATGAGAAGGGAACTGTTACGACAACAGTGGGAAAAGGAGGAAGAAGAGTTGCGTAATAAATCAGAAATTCATTATGAAGATGTTCTGTTTGGAGGTAAATATGTAGTATTTTATTATTTTAACAATCTAACTGCAATTTAAGTTATTTAGTTGTATACCATCGAAATTCTCAAATCACTGTTTTTCTTAAGTTATCTAACTTTAATCTGGGGCCCTTTGTGGATGTGACCATATAGAAAAATGCAGCTAGGCACATCAAAAAAGCATGTTTTTAAATGGTTTTCCCCAAATAACTCCAAAAGTTTAGATTTTATCAGGAAAATCTATTTAGATATAAACTGAAGCTTATTTTATATCCAAACAGTTTTCCTGATAAAATTTAAAAACATAACATGCTTTTTTTGACTTGTGATTTGGCAACTCAGTCACAGCACACTCCCTACTTAATTTATCTGTGACTTTCAGTCACGAATAACTCCAAACCATGGTATAATGAACACCTCTGGCCAAAACAAAAACATATGTATTTTCATATTTTTAGTTTTTTTTGTGAAATGAAAATTTGTCTAATTGGACAATAAACAATAAAATAATAAAAATATAAATAAAATACAATACTTTTATTACAATTCGCAATAGATATTCAAGGTTAGAACAAAAACTGGCTGGAAATTATTGTATTAAAAAAAAAATGCACTTTTGTAACTAAAAAGTGGAATTTTCAAACTTTGTTAGATAATTATTCAGACACTTATTTACAGCAGTCAAAAATCTTTTTGTCATAAAAACAAACGTTAAAACATTATAATCTCATCAAATTTCATCACAAATCTTTCAAAAATTGTCTTTTAAATATTGACTCAAGGGTATTGAAATTATAAATTTCCCTCGCATTTATAACTGCTGAATTATTGAGACAGGAAAATTGCATAAAGGCCATCTTTTGTTGGCCTGCTGTCTTTTTTCTCCTCCTTTTACTCTTTTATAGTAAAATTAGAGTAATTTATTTTTATAGTTTTGTGGTTAATTATAATGTAATGAATCTTAGTTTTCATGTCTCTTACACCAATGTGTATTTATGTATAATATATTTGTGCTTATGAACCTGATTGTTATTTTCAAGTAATTGATTTCACATAACATTTCTTTAGTCACTGTCATTAATTATATCTAGTACACATAGTAGTAAACAACAGAAAAAACGACATTTAGAAAACCAGCAACAGCACAAAGCGAAGTGCAAAAATTTTATAAAAATGTGAACCACAACAGAAAAGAATTTAAACCTAGAATAACCATAATAAAAAGTAAGGACGTCGAAATTATCAATGAGCCGGATCAAATAGTGGAGAGATGGGCAGAGAATTTTGCTGAGAAATTAAATATAGGCAACCAAATAGTGACTGACATAAATGACCACAGTGGAGACATAGACGATGAGAGGGAGAAAAATAATATACCAACAGAAGAAGTTGCCAAGGCAATAAAAAGGTTAAAAAACAACAAATCCTCTGGAGAAAATGGTATACCCCCTGAGCTGTTCAAGTATGGAGCAAACGCCCTAAAACAATACATAATAAAACTTGTATCCATTTGGAGAGAAGGAAAACTCCTAGACAGCTGGAATGTAGATATTGTAATACCTATTCACAAGAAAGGGAATTCACTGATATGTGACAAGTATCGAGGCATTACCCTCCTAAATATGGCATACAAAGTACTGGCTTATATACTTTATGATCGTTTACTAGTATATACTGAGGAAAAAATAGGCAAATACCAATGCGGATTCCGAAAAGAAATGTCAACAATTGATTAGATTTTCCTTCTCAGACAAACCTTAAAAAAGACATATATGGAATTGATACTGATTTTAAAAGCGCTTATGACAGTGTAGACAGAAGCGCACTTTATAATGCCATGGCAGAACTAGATATTCCATCGCATCTAATAACATTGGTAAAGTCAACTCTTTCGAAAGTTGAGTGCAAAGTCAAGGTACAAAACAGAGTGTCAAGGTCTTTACTGGATTACGCCAGGGAGACAGTTTATCGTGCCTATTGTGTAACATCGCGCTAGAAAGAGCCATAGAGAAATCGGGCATAACAATCAAAGGCACAAGCACCAATAGAAGTGTACAGATATTGGCCTACACAGATGACATTGACATAGTAACACAGACAAAAAGAGACCTGATACAGGCTTTTGAAGCATTAGAAAAAGCCACGAAGACAATGGGACTGCAGGTCAATGTATCCAAAACAAAATACATGAAGATCACAAACAGCACACAAATAGCGGCACCACAAGATCTGGTAACAGAAGCACACACATTCAAAGGGGTCTTGGAGTTTGTAATTTTGGAAAAAAACTAAATAACAACAACCTAGTAAGCGTAGAAATTAAGAGAAGAATATACCTGGCGAACAGAGCTTACTTTGGACTAAAGCCTTTAATTAGCAGAAAAACCAAGATACTAATATATGAAACTCTCATTAAACCTGTCCTGACATACATGTCAGAGACATAGATTATGGTAAAAAGTGACTAAGAAGTGTTAGGCCGCTTTGAAAGAAGATACTTGGACACATATACGGAGGAGTATAAGAAAGCGGGATATGGCGCAGGCGCTACAATTTTGAGTTGTATCAATTGTATGAAAAATGCAACATTGTCCGGTCTACTAAAATTGTAACGACAATATTTTGCCTACCATAGGGGGCATTAATATAAAGGGTAGACAATTGGGGAAGAAACTATGGGGGTGGAGATAAGGCAAGCAAAATAATCGCTATTTGTGCGAACGGCACTCAGGGTTTCGTAGGAGAGCTGGGGTCATGGATAAGTAAAAAAATAAGGGGGGTGAAATGGGGCAACTACAAAAAAATGAAATAAAGGGGTCATTAATCTCTTGGAACACACACAATAAAAATAAACAAGAAACACCTCAAGGAATTTAATATGGGGCGCCACTTGAGGTGCCTAATTATGCCTATTACAACCACTGGTTGTAACTAGGGAAATAATTAGAAAACAAATCAAAACATAAAAAACATATCTTCAAATAAGAATCAAAAAAGGTTTGGCTCAAAAAAATAAATAAAAAGTTAAGACAACAAAATTTAACCTTTATTTATGTGTCACCACAAACAGTTACATGGAAAAAAACAAAACACAAAAACTTAGATGTGTCATCCGCTTACAAACTCTGTTGCTACAAAACTTACAAAATTGCATGGAGGTTAACCTTCTTTTTTTTAACAAAACAAAGTAAAATCAAAAAATAATAAAACGAGCTGTCATAAATTAACATTAAATTTCAAAAAAACTAAACACATAAATTGACAGCTCAACTCAAAACCAAAAATTTACAATTTTAAATGTAACGAAAGCAATTATTATTTCATAAAAAAATTGTCTGTCTTTAGTTTAAAATTTGAACACAAAAAAAAACAGTTACCACCAGGGAAAACGGGAACTCTCAAAAAAAACATGAACCCTCCAACAGGAAACAGACTTTTCAAAAATCTCGAAATATCGAGCGAAAACGAAAAAACAGAAAATTTTACAAACTCGACATGAATTTGGACATAACGCTGAACCGGTCTTGCTCGCGGTTCCAACGAGAGTAAAGAAATTTAAAATTTGTTCGCTTAACTTGAAAATAAACAAACTGCTGAAATAGCAAAACCAACAAAACGGCGTACATATCCTTTTGCGACGCATAAACATGAAAAGAGATTGCCGAAGTAAAATAAACAACTCTCAAATGGTTTTATTACTCGGCGACGAAACACTTTTGGGTACTTTGAAAGATACGAAATAACAACACAGAAAAATTCTTCGTTTCATTTTTTAAAAATATATAAGGAGTTTTTAATATATTTTTTTATACGAGGAGGTTTCAATATACTCAAAAGAATCAATGAAATTGAAAATGCTACTAAATTAATAGACTAAGGTGGCTAGGACACCTTGAAAGAATGGACACTGGAGACCCCCAAAGACAGATATTCTATCAAGAGCCAGTAGGAACCAGGAAGAGAGGCAGGCAAGAACTACATTTAAAACTCAAGTCGAAGATGACTTGAGGAATCTAGGGGTCAGAAATTGGAAAGCCAGAGCGAAAGATAGGGGGGAATGGAGACTAATTCTTGAACAGGCCCAGACCCACCCAGGGTTGTAGAGCCAAAGATGATGATGATAATTATTTGCTGAATTGATTTTTATTTATTTAAAATAATCTAATATGTTGGGTGTTACATTTAATGTAATTATTGACTTGTGGTTTGAAATTTAAATAAATAACTTACAATTTGTAGAAGTCTTTTGTAAAATTCTGAGTAAATTGGTGAAAAAGCTTACTTACTTTTTATCTGTACACATTTTTAATATCTTTTATTTGTAAATAGGGGAAATTATCAATGTTCAAAATCCTGCCTTTGTAAAAATTTTTGAAAAAAGTTGAATCACTAAAAAAATATAATTTTTTATATGAACTTTATACTTCTACAAAATTTATTCATAATTTTACGCAGAATTAAAAAAAATACAATACCCTTTAGTGTTTCCATTAAAAATAACAAACATGAAGGAGGCTTTCGGCCTTATAGGTGTGATAGGATATAAGAGATTAGTTTTCACATTTAAAATCTGATTATTTTCAGAGATAGTCTAATATAATATCTATTTTCTTTTGGTTAAAAGTTTCATAGTTCCCAATATAACTTCCCTTATTTCAGTAAAAAAATAACTAAACACATGAGTATTTTTATTTTTAGAGGCAAGGACACACGGTGTAGGTTATTATCGTTTTTCCAAGGATGAAAGAGAAAGAGCGAAACAGCAAGAAGCATTAAAAAGATTGAGAAAAGAAACTGAAGACAAACAGAAGAAGGCACAACAACTGAAAGACACTAGGGAGAAGCTACTGGCAGCACGGCTAAAAGCGGCTAGAAATAGAAAAAGAGCCAGGATGGGTTTACCGCCAGAAGAAGACGAAGGTATGTATATTCGGTTCTTGTATGACTATGAAGGGCATAGATAAAACTATGACAGCGTGAGTAGAGGCTAAATATGGAAACAATGGACATATTGTTTAGCATAATATCTAAAATTTGTTGAAACTGGATTTAAATAAAAGTTGTCTAAGTGATTGTCGTAATAATGCGAATAATAAGGAGTAAGAATTATTATTTATTTCTTTAGTTTCTGATATCCTTATTTATTTCATGTGCGAACTACAGTACTAAAAAATCGTAGAGTTTAAGTTATAACAACTTAAAATAAAAATAAAACACAATACAGTAAAATTTTATAAATAAAATACATTCATATATATGTAAGTCCATATAAAAATAAAAAAACTTAGATTTAAAACAATAAAAACTTTTCGTTTAAAGAAAACAGTTTAAGTCCATTAAGTCTGAATCACAGCACTCATGCTCACAGTTTACGAGACGACAATACAGAAAGCGTCTCATTGATTGGATCAGCCCTCATGTGCACCTTTCATCTCCCTCAATGTATCCTCAAGATACCATATTTTGTTTAATCGTCTGACACTTACATGCAGTCTATTCAGTGGATCTTTAATCCCTTTTGATATCCTACCTCGATGTACTGGGTAAGATTAAGTATTTAGCTAGTACAATGCCTTCCTGTTCTAAAGTCCACCTGTTCATCTATAAGGTTTTCTTCTATGTGTAGATTAATTCTATTCAATATAAATCTTTTGTACGGCAGGAAATACGAAACGTAGAGGGGTTTGAAGGGGTAAGCCATTTCAATTACTTAGATTCTGTTATCACAAACAATGGTGGATGCGAAGAAGAGATACGTCGACGCATTACAGTGGCCAGATAAGCAACTGTCAAACTTACTAAAATCTGGAAAGATACGGACATAACCAGGAACACGAAACTGTGCCTAGTACGAACGCTTATCTTTCCTATCGCTACCTATGCGTCAGAAACTTGGACCATTAAAAAGTCCGACTCACGACGTATAATGGCCTTTGAAATGTGGGTATATCGTAAAATGATGCGCATACCCTGGACAGCACATCGCACAAATGTCTCGATATTGACAGAACTCGACATCAATACTAGGCTTACCACAATCATCAACCAAAATATATTGGGGTACTTTGGACACATTACCAGACGAATGGAAGGCAAGGAGAGGTTGGCGGTTAAAGGCAAGGTAGATGGTAAAAGAAATCGAGGAAGATCGCCACTCCGATGGTCAGACCAAATAAAGTGCGCTACCGGTTACTCTCTGCCTGAGGCAGCACACCGTGCCCAGGAGAGAGAGAGGTTGGATAACAACCATTCGTCAAATACCATAACGTCACCACGTTATGGTATTTGACGAATACCATAAAGTAGTAGAGGAATACCACGGATAAAGGATAGAGGAAGAGGTACAGTTTGAATGTTGAACACAAGAGAGAAATAGGGCGGTATGCCTGGAAATGAAATTCTAGTAAGTTTTTAACTGTAGTATTGCCGCCGCTCTGTATTAAAACAAAAATCTAGTACCGTCTTTATATTTTATTTCTTTACTCCGTTTCATCATCATCATCATCAGTGGCATTATAGCTCGTTATGAGCCAAAGCCTTCTTCAGAACAATCTTCCATTCGTCCCTGTCTCTGGCAACTCTTCTCCATGCTTTAACTCCGATGGATTTTAGATCATCCTCTATTTTATCTAGGTACCTAAGTTTTGGTCTTGCTCTTGATCGTCTTCCCACTGGTCCTCTTCGGTCGAAAATTTTTCTGATCGTTGCATCTTCATCTCGCCTAATTACATGTCCTATCTATCGAAGGCGTGCTAATTTAATAAATTTTACAACTCCAGGTTCTCCAGAGCTTTTGTATAATTCAAAGTTGTAGCGCCTACGCCACAAACAATGTTCTTGGACTTCTCCATATATTTTCCTTAGAATTTTTTTCTCGAAACGTCTAAGCAGTTCTTGGTCGTTCTGTGTGAGTGACCACGTTTCTGACCCGTATGTTAACACTGGCCTTATTAGTGTTTTATATATGGTAATTTTAATTTTTCTGGGTAGTTTTGGGGCCATCTGTTTCCTTCTTTACTCCGTTTGGAGTACCAGAAATTGAATTGACTACGAATTTTGACCATGATAAACGACATGTGGAATGCAATCTTAGATTTCCTTGTCGAGTTATTTATCAAGCTATTTGCTTTGCAAGTTTTAGAAAGCACGGTGATCAAGGTTTCAATTCGATTTCGCCAGGTAGAAATGGTTTGATTTCTCTTTTTGTATTATTTTCTTTTAAATATTTTCTAATACTAATAAAAATAAATTGTAGGAACTTATGTTTAACTATGCGTTATAACATTTTTAATTTGTGTCATATATAACTTTGTAGTAAAAGAATACCAGGAGGTAGGTAGCGGTGTAATCACGCACTGAGCAGATAGTCTCTCACTCAACGAATATGATATAATATCTGATGTAACACATACTATTTTATTTTTATTTTAGAACCAAATATACCAACACCTGCTCAACCAGAAATCGCCAAAGAAGAATTGGACAAAAAGAATGAGGATGATGAAAAGGAACAACTTTTAGAAAGGGCTCGGAAAAACCACATTCGACCTTGGGATATTGGGAAAGAAGGTGTCAAGGAACATCAAATTTTAACACAAGAAGAATGGGTGGATAAGAAGCGGGAAGAACGACCATCAGAATTTGCTCCTCCTGTCAACTACAGGAAAAATTTCAGGTAAAACTATATTCTGAACAATTAAAAATATAACAGAACTCCACAAATATTTTCGCGGATTTTCCTGTATTTTGTTGTATTGTTTTTTTTTGTTGCCGATAGAACCATCAAAAAAACTCTATTGCGGTTAGTTGTGAAACCACTTACATTATAAGGCTTGTTGCTAACATTATTACCACCAATTTTGGTTTAATGCAGTTACATGTTTATGGCTTAAAGTTATCGACCAAAGTTTTTTCTTCTTCTCTGTCTGTTTTTTGTCTGTTCTACACCGGTCATGTTTCAGGCAATTGAATTGGCTTAATGAATAGCTTTAGCAGAATATAAAAAGGATAAAAAACTTAAAGTTAATTATGCTTTCACTACAACTAGTTAAATATACTGCACACAGTTAATTTTTATTTTTTGTAATTTCTTTTGATGACTACTGCATACTTTTATTTAAAACTGCTGCTAGACATTTTGCTTCCAGCCTCTATTGCTGGAGTAGAACGCGAAAAGCCTCTCTGGAACCAGAGTCCTAGATCAAAGTTGTCTTTTCTAACCCCAGACGAAAAATGCTTTAAAAAAACTTTTCCTCCCCGTAACTATACTCTGTTTTTAAACTAGCAGGTGTGAACTCAAAAGACAGATTCACACCCAATAATGTCACTATACTATAACAATTTTCAATTGAAGGTGACTCATCTACAAATTGAACTGAGAGCTAACTGCAACAATGTTAAATGTCAGAAGTAAATTCTTACCGGCACTTACCGGGGTCATTTTTATTTTGTATGCTTCGCCAATTTGGATAAGTGAACAATAAGATGGTTCCATAAAATTTGCCCCCGTAACAAAATACCTTCTGCATACCGGTGCGATTCACGCATCGAGCAAAAAGACAAAAGAGGGAATCTAATCCTTATGAAAAGGAGACCAAAAAAGTGGCCTCTGATGGCGGACATATCCCGAAATGCGAATGCGCCGAATTTAAATTTTCCGACACTTATTAACAGTAGCTATATAATGTTTTTCAGAATGTGTCCTAGACGAGAAAGTTTTAATTAATTATTAACGGTAATAGTCTAAAATGCGACAATTGTTAAAAAACTTCAATATAAATAAGATTTAATGTGACATTTGGGACAAACAATAACATAACCCAACTAAATTTGATGTCAAACAAGGAGAGAGACTCTCTTTCCTTGTTTAATGTGGCCTCTAAAGTTCGCACTTCCTGTCTAACAATATTTTTGCCGCCACTACCTTTACATTCCCTCTTTTGTCTTTTTGCTCGATGGATTCACGAGCGAATAGTTTAATAAGTTCGTTGAATACTTTGCAAACATTGGTAAACTTATCAACACTTTTCTGGTCTATATATTTACGTTCTTGGAAAGAGTGGAAATGGGAGAATTCTGCTCCTTGTGATTAAATAGACTTTATTATATTTATTAACTTAAAAATAGATGTTGAGGTAAGTTCCATATGGGGCCACTAGGTGTTTGGCAAGATTAAGCATGGAAAAAATTAATTAATTTGTCCCATGTGTATGAACTAGTTTAAAACATGACATACAAAACCCGACGTTGAATTTTTTCTAAGTCCAAGCATTTTGGGGAGCTACTTCGATGAGGAACATTGGCCAGGACCATTTTTTGGAACGTATGCAAACGATAACTGAAAAAAATTACCCATCTATTTAATATTTTTATTGGTTTATAGAAATAGTGCTCTTTATTTTTTACCAAGATATATTGCTGTCCATGAAATCAGTTCCTCCCATGCTGTTATTATACTGCGAAAGAAGATATGGTCTAGGTACTTGTATAGTCTTGCTATCTTTTTTAGAATATCTTTCTACGTTTTTGACCGGATGGAGATCCTTTTTCACTCAATTCATCGATCATCTATAACATGGAAGCTGAGCTTTTTCGAAATATTTTTAATCTTGTTATATATATTACCTTTTAAACATAATTTGTTCTGGTTGTTGTATTAATATCCGATTTTGTTTATTTCAGGGCTGAAGATACTGAACTTACAGACCAATCCTCAGCAGAACGCAAGTCTTTGAAATTTTCCACTAAAAAGAAATCAAATATTAAATCAAGAGGTAAAATGAAACAAAAAACGGACCAAATGCACATCCTCGAAACTGTAGCTGTAAATGATGATAAAGTGGAAGCTTCAGTTAGTTCAGATACTGCAACTTGTACTGCTGTTCTTCAGGACTATGAAAAGGCATTCAAAGTTCATATTGAGAATGAAGTTGATTTTGATGTTGAAGATGACCTTCTACGAGATTACAAAACAGTTATGAGCAACTCAAAACCTTATTGCGATTATAGTCAAGAAGACACACTGCTAGATGATTATAATCAAAGGAAACACGAAAATATAAACAAAAGAAGAGCAGAAATAGCCCCTCCGCCTACTTACGATTATTATGGCCCAAGTCATAGTAAAATGAAAAAAGTTACTGTTAATCCACCCAACATTCAAGATTCTATAGAAAAAGGACTTGAGTTTTTAAGAAAACAAATAGAACAAAAACAAAAGTCGTCTAAAAATCGAGAAGACATGTTTTTGTGTTAAAATTTCGTTGTTTTAATTCTGATAAAATGTACATAAAATGTAAATAAAAATGGTTATTTGATATTATAAATTGAAAGAAACATATTTTATATGCATGTAACAATATATACCAATGGTAATCTAATTATTTTTTTTCTAAATTTCTTGAAGTATTACTATTTTTTACTCAACCGAAGCCAACTCTGATCACCGTATATGAACGAATTACGGAGTTGCCAGAGCTCTGCGATTTCTAAGTTATCTTGCAACGGACTATAATGTACTATTTTAGATTTGAAACATGCGATGCAGTATACGAAGGATAAGGCCATGCAAACTAAATGAAAGTTTTCTTAACAACGTTGCCGTTATTCACGGCATCAACCTTACGAACAACACAATCAGAGATTCTCAAGAATTCCGTTACAAAATTAGATTTTTAGTATAAGAAGAAATGGAACTTTAGTAATTACATGGATAGTAAACAATTTCTTTTTAATGACTGCCATAACGAATAGTGGGTAATTACTTTGAGCATTTGCCCAATTTTTCAAATAGCTCACTGTATCGTTTATTGTGCGATATCGGGTTTAAGTAAAAAACGCTGTAGAAAGTCGATTTTAATTGAGAAACAGGAGATAATTTCATGGTGTCGTCGTTACCTACGATTCATTTGTCAATACCGCGAAGAAGGCTACAATATCGTCTATTCAGATGAGTCATGGGTAACGTATGCCATAGCGTATCAAAAGAATGGGTAGACACGTCCATTAAATCGCATAGAGATGCATCTATTCGTGGCCTGACTACAGACCTAAAAGCTCGTGGTTCTCGTTTTGTCCCCCTACATGTGCAGGATCTGAAAATCGCTTTGTTAACGAAGCAGAACTGACTTCTAGCGAAGAAAAACATTCACGATTATCATGTCGAAATGGATGGTCCACTCGTTGAAAATTAGTTCAAACATAAACTAATTCATTAAGCTGTTGATGGCGTAGTTACGTCTGTATATAGTTATTACAGTAAAGAAGAAAAAAAAACAGCTTCTATAGAGTTTTTTGAAAAAAAAAAATTTAAAAACAGAACTGTTGGAAGTTGTCAACAGTTATAGAGCAAATTACGATCGTTATATAAGATTTTGCACAACAACACAATTTGAAAATTCTCCCCCTTCTCCTTATTACATGTGGTTGTATTAAGTACCTTCTTACTGGATTTTATTTCTGCTTTATTATATAGTGAAGGCACATAATAATAAACAATCAGAATGCCCACTGCTTGAAAAAATAAGTACGCGTTTCTCGTTCGCGCAGACGGAATCAGCCATGTTTTAAACAGAACCAGTGTTGTTTAGTGCCATTTTATCTGGTGTACATAGAAAAATTAACCCGGTTTAATTATTTACGGCAAGTATAGACATAATATTATGCACTATTTAATTGTTACTTTTAGTTGAAGAATAGATTAAATTATTAATCTCTAAAAACTTAAATTACAGTTCTGTCGTAGCTGGTCACAAATCTCTCAATGCGAGTCTATGTTCAGGAAAATGTTTAACATAAATTAATTCAATTTTTTTTATTGATTCAGATGACTGGTGGAAATATTAAAAGTAATACAAATGAATACTCCTACCCAACATATTGATTTACCAGAAATACCTTCATGTAAACCTTCATTAAAAAGAGTTGCAAGGACGAATAAGCAAACAGTTACTATTGATAGAGAAAAGATGTTAAATGATACTGTAAAACAAGAAATAACTAGTATATTAGAACAAAAAGTGAAGTTAACATCAAGCAAAGACGAAAGTACTGAGGAAAACTGGACAAGAATTAAAGAGAAATAAGTCAGAAATAAAGATAAAAACGAATACAAGAAGATCCACGCAATAATCAGGCAGAAGATAAGACACGCGAAAACACAATTTCATAGTAAAGAATGTAATGAAATTGAACAATATGAAGAGAAACACGATACATTTCATCTGCACAAGAAATTAAAAGAGGTCGCTGGAAACAAACGGAAACAAGTATCCCAAAGTTTAGAAGACAGAAGTGCTGAAATACTAAAGTTTTTGGGAGAAAATGGAATTAAAGCTCTGTGTAATCTCTTTAACAGAATTTATGACACTGGGATATTACCAACTGATTGGTTAAAGTCGACATTTGTCACAATACCTAAGAAACGTCGTCCAAAGACATGCGGTAATTATCAGACAATAAGTCTGATGAGTCACGTTTTGAAGATCTTCCTGCGAATAATACACAGCAGAATTTACACGCTGTTAGAGGACAGAATTAGCAATGCTCAATTCGGGTTTAGGAGTGATTTCGGTACAAGAGAAGCCTAGTTTAGTATACAGGTGCTAGTACAGAGATATAAATCAAAATGTGTATAATTGTGCAATCGATTTTGAAAAGGCTTTTGACAAAGTTCGACGTAACAAAATGCTAGAAATATTGGAAACAGCTGGATTGGACGATAAAGATCTACGAATAATTACAAATCTATACTGGCATCAAGTGGCAAGAATAAAGGTTGAACAAGAACGGTCTGACGAAATAAATACAAAAAGAGGAGTGAGACCAGGCTGTATATTGTCGCCTTTACTTTTTAACTTATATTCGGAGGAAATATTTAAGGAAGCCTTAATGGAGACAACCAAAGGTATTATTATGAATGGAGTAACCGTCAACAATATTAGATATGCCGACGATACCTTAGTGCTTGCTAATTGCGGAGAAGACCTTCAAAATCTAATGAACAAAATAAAACAGACTTGTGATCAGTATGGATTAAAACTCAACGTTAAGAAAACTAAATATATGATAGTTAGCAAACAAAATTATATACAGGATGACGGTATAAAAGTCGGAGACGCCACACTGGACAGAGTAGAGATACTCGTATATCTCGGCAGTAATATCAATGAGAACTGGGATCCAACCGCAGAAATTAAAAGCCGAATAGAACAAGACCGAGCTGCCTTTGTAAAAATGAGAAACGTACTTTGCAGTCACGATCTTAGCATTGACCTTATGAGTTCTAGAATGGCAAAATATTCTGTCTCCGGCTTCTACATAAAATGTAGCTTCTCCTTTTTAAAAAATTTAAAGTGTTTGTTTGTCTTTGTGTATTGTATTGTTATGTCCAAATTTACATTTATGACATTCTACTCATGTCGGATAGGCCACAACTGACGAAATGCCCCTGAAGATGATCTATTGATCGAAAGTACTTGGGCAAGATTTAATTAATCACTGTGTTCGATAGTTGCCTTGTATACTATCAAAGTTTAATTATTCGAACATTCAACCTTATATTGACTTATTCTTAATTTGTTTAGCGCAAATAAATATAAGGACCTGATTCAATATTTACAACATTGTAACTTTTAATATCACCTCAACTTCTAATAAAACACGTTTTTTATTTCAAAAATGTATATTTTGATTCAATATGAATAAATAATAAGTTGTACAATAAAAATATAAAATAAAGTGTATAAAATCTACATAAACTGTAAAATATCGGCAAAATTGCAACTCTATTAACATATATAATTTAGTTAAAGCAGGATAAATATTATATAACGATGGTTAATAAGGTAAGAATTTATTAATTCCCTACACTATACAGAATTTAACGAAATATTGTAGCATAGATTTTGTACAGATAAAAAAATAGTTATATTTCCAACAAGAAGTGCAATGCACAAACAAAATCAATGCAGATTGAGCAGAAATTAAATTGTTGAGATCGTTTCATGAGAATAAAACCATAGAAGTACGTTGTTCAAGAACAGTCTTTCAAAATATAAAAATTTAGATTAACTAACATTGAAAAAACAGCACGCTCATTCAACTTTAATTTATGGATTGTAAGTGGCAGGAACTGTTTGTACGATTTACAGAATTGCCACGTGTATTTTTATTAATATCACAAAGTTCTGTGTACTATATATGAATTGAAACAGCGAAAGGTGAACTCGAATGTGATGGGCAGTATATCGGACAAATATCGCAGAGGTTAAAACAAAGAATAACGAAGCACAAAAGTGGTTGTAAAACAGAAAATTCTTGTGTCGTAGCCATCGAGCAAAAAGACAAAAGAGGGAATGTAAAGGTAGTGGGGCAAAAATATTGTTAGACAGGAAGCGCCATCTTGAGAGGCCACATTAAACAAGGAAAGAGAGTATTTCCTTGTTTAAGAAATCAAATTTAGTTGGTTTATGTTATTGTTTGTCCCAACTGTCACATGCAATCTTCTTTATATTAACTTTTTTAACGATTGTGTCACATTTTAGACTGTTATCATTAATATTTATTTAAAGTTTCTCGTCTAAGACTAATTCTGAAAACTATTTTCTAGCTATTGTTAATAAGTGTCGGAAAATTTAAATTTGGCACTTTCGCATTTCCGGATATGCCCGCCATCAGAGGCCACTTTTTTGGTCTCCTTTTCATAACGATTAGATTCCCTCTTTTGTCTTTTTGCTCGATGGTCGTAGCACACCATTCCAAGATAACAGACCACACACTTAACTTATCAGGTTTCAATATCTTGGATATAGAGAACAACTATAAAAAAATATTTCTGGAAATGTATCACATAAACAAAAACCAAAAGTCAAAGAAATACATCTCTGTAGCTGTAATTACCTTTTCTGTTTTATCTTTGATGTCATACTTCACTTCCATATATCATTATACTCTTGATAATGGAGTTATTGATCCTTCTTTATTATCTGTTGAAATTTTTTGGTCCTAAAGGATACTAGGATCTGGGACTTTGTTTTATGCCCTTGTCGAATATTCCGTCTTTCGGCCTATGTACTTATATTCTGAACAACATTCTCCACATCACAATCTCATCTTGTAACATAATGTTTTCGTCATTTCCTCCTGTACACATTTCACACATGTTGACTTCCATACCCCATCTACCATACTCTTCTATTAATTTTCTTGTTATAAATCCCCATTCCACATTTTTCACCATGTGCGTCTGAACAAATAAATTAATATTAATCGAAACCTCACATTTTCCGATTTTCTACATTCTCTACTATCGTGGCAATATAACAACTCTGTGTGAAAATGGCAATGTCAA